TTCCCCCCCCCCCCCCCCCCCCCCGCCCCTTCCCATCCCGTCTTTCCCCAATTCCCCAGTATTGTCGCAACTAGCAGTAGTCTGGAAAATAGCTTTTCACGATCCATCGTATGTTCAAAACTGAATTTCTAAAACCTAAAGCAACACTAGAGAACTAGTTCCAATGGTAGCACATGTCAACAGCAACCACTCGCCAACAAGGCCGCCCATGGCATTCGCCTTCAAAAGTACCGAGAATTAAACCGATGGTGGTTTTGACTTCCTGGCATATATTAATATTCATATACTATCGAAACGAAAAATCCTGGAGCGGCTGAGACCCAGTTGCTGCACGAGGACGGTACCATTGCACTAAATGATTGAAAAAAAATGGAAATTAACCTGGAAGACATATCCTTTGGAGACGCTATCAGCGATTAACCTTGCCAGCACTTCCTTACGATAAAGTCGAAAAGAACCGGTTAAATCCGAAACTCCCGGTCTCAGCAGAAACTGAAAAATTTCCATAGACCAACTCTTTGCACCAAAAAAAAATCCGAATTTTGGGAAGAAAATGTAGATCTAGGAAAAATGTTCCAGGAAAAAATGAAAAAAAGAAAAAGAACGAAAAATGAAAATGCTCTTGATATAAAAATGTAGAAAAAAATGATCTTGGGAAAATGTTTTAAGGGAAAAAATGTGTACCTGTGCCAGAAAATTTGCACCGCGACTGATCAATTTTCGTTTCAAATCCCAACCGCATACACCACCACCATGTGCGTAACGCGTACCGGTTACAATATCGTACTGAAAAACAAAAAAAAAAAGATTTACTAAGATTATCAAGATTATCAAGAATACTAAAACTATCCGGATAATCCATGTGAATATCCCACTAATATTTATGGCTTGTTTTCACACGCCTAGTGCAGGCTCAAAATAGAGAAGAATGGAGAAATTGTCAGCTACATCAATGGTGAGAAGGAATGCTGTTATAGAATTTCGCATCATGACTCCCTCCTAGATAGCGCATGAAATGGCGCGAAGCTACCTATATAAGGCCGCTGCTTCTGTGTTATTTGAGTGGTATTGTGCAGTGTTTTGTTGCGGTGGATTGTGTAGATGACTTAGCAGGCCCACGAAGGAGTTTGGCCTTACTACCCCGCAATATCGCCAAGGAGTCGACGACCTAACTCGACAGACTGGATAAAACAACGACTGTTCAAGCTATTCAAAGTATCATGCCCGTATTTTGCCTAATAACTGTGAATTTAATTTGCAATAAAAAAAAAAATGCAATGGAAAAATGCCAAAAAATTAGTACTTGTCAAGGGTAAAATTTTTGAACGTAAGTGCCTCAAGTTATAAAAGAAAGACATACATTTTTGTGTCGTTGCAGTTTGATCATTTCAGGTATAAATTTTGGATGATGCGACAGGTCTGCATCCATCAGAACCACAAACTCACCACGTGCATACTGCAATCCATGTGTATAAGCTGTTCCCAGGCCTAAACAAGTGCAAATTACACACACAAAAATTTATGACAAAAGAAGTTTTTAAGTGCATATCTGTGTTCTGACCAAAGTTTAGCGCCACAAGTCTTTCCTGCCCAAAGTGATAGAATTAACGAACACCAACCGCATACTGAATATTTCTGGTAGTTTTAACACTTGAAAAACTGAGGTATTCACGGGACAGACTTTCTTCGAATGGACG